CCGCTGCTCCGCCTCCCTCTAGTAGTCTGTCCACTGATGAGTCTCGACGCCGACCACTGGACCGTTCCCGTTGTTGCCCGATCCGCGCGCACCACCGGCGGTGAGGTCTCAGCAGCCCTAGGCAGGGCGCGCTGGCCGCCAGGCGCCTGGGTGGACACCCGCCCGCATTGGCTCGATCTCCCTCTCTCTCCCGCCCCCCCTCCCTCCATTACCTCCCTCCCTCCGCTCCCTTCCTCTCTCCCGCCCTCTCCTTCTCCTCCTCCCTGGCCTCCTTCCCTCCGCCTCCCCCAGCGGCACCGCTGGTCCCGTTGCCGCGGGTGCACAGTGATCGGGAGCCAGAAGCCTTCCGCGTCGCCCCTCAAACAGGGGGGCTGCCCCAGCCAGGGCCTCTAGATGGGCATCCAGCGCACGCGACGCAGATGCGTGCGCCCTCCTCCTCCTCCTCCTCCTCCTCCTCCTCCTGCTCCTTCTCCTCCTCCTCCTCCTCCTCCTCCTCCTCCTCCGCCATCTCCTCCGCCATCTCCTCCTCCTCCGCCATCTCCTCCTGCTCTTGCCTGGGTCCCGCACAGACCATCTGCGGTGGGGCGGGCCGGCGGATTTCTACGCCTCGCCCTTCTACGCGCTCTGCGGCGGGCCCTCCTCGCGGAACGAGCTGCGACGCCGCGGCGGGGAGGCCCCGGCGGCGGGCGGCTTCCACGAGTTCGTGGTGGCGCACGGCAACGAGGAGCCTCCTCGTACTCCACCTCCTCCTCCTCCTCCTCCTCCTCCTCCTCCTCCTCCTCCTCCTCCTCCTCCCTTCTACTCCTCCTGCCCCACCTTCCTCCTTCTCCTGCTCTGGGGGAGGGGCCTGTGCTCAGGGGAGGCTGCAGCATCGCTTAGCGGTGGGCTGTCAACAAGACCTGCAGGCTAGGCCCTTTCCATGCTTCTGTGCACTTCAGCTTTGGCTTCGGCTTCAGCTGTGGGTGCGCCAGGAAGCGCCTTTGGGCCAGCTCGCACGGGTGCTCCCCTCCCCCCTCCCCCGAGAAGAACAGAAAACGTCATAAGCATAAGCTTTCGAAATTCAGCGCGAAATCCTTGGATCTTCGATGGATCCCCCTTGCGGAGCCTCCAGCGCCGCCCCTGGCGCGCTTTGCGCGCTGAGGATGGTGGTCCAGCGCCGATCCAAGACATCCGTGCGGGGCTCCGAATGTTTATGTTTATCTAGTTGTTATTATGATTCGATCCTCTTCGTTTCTCGCTCCTCGCTTCTTCTCTAGGTCATCATTTCGGACGCTCGGCTGAAGGCTATGACCTCTTGTTCGGTGGCTGGTTACTGTCGAACATATGATAAAGAAACCTCCCACCAAAAATTGTCGTGCCAGTGTTCTTGACCAACTTCCTGGAAAGCTGGCCCAGTTTCTTGAGTACGTTCGCCTTCCGGCGTTAGCAGCAGAACCTGGGCCAGGTGTGTTTTAGGACACTTCCGGGAAGCTGTCCCAGACTTCAAGAAATCTTAGATGATAAGTTTCTTGATCACATTGTCGGCTGTATCTTCCGTGAGGGGTGTAGAACAATCGCACTGGACGCATCGGTGACCCTTGGGAAGGTATACGGACTGTGATCCTTTCGACTCCGTACTCTTAATGATGGCTGGTATTTCTGGTACCCTTCTATCGCCACCCTCCTGCAGCCACGGAAGCGCTACCACACGTTTGTGCCCAATGCGTAAGTGATTGGCGCAGTTATTTGATCAGTCCGGGTCAGGTGTCAATTTGTTTCAATGTATGTCATGCCATGGATGGCACACAAAACGTGTGAGTCGAGCCGATTTCATTCAGTTCGAGCTAATGCCTCATGATATTCTAGACGCTTCGCGTAGCCCCATTAGCTGGGCGGCCTGTCCCTGTGTGCACGCACGTGGGCTTCGCTTGGTCGTTGGCCATTCGGGTCCGCGTTCTGCCTGCGGCTTTTCAGTGCCCCGCTGTCCGTCTTGGCCTCGCTTCCGAATGTGGTTCGGCTGGAGCTTGGCGCCGCAAGGGCGACTTCTCCCCCCCGTTCCGCTGCCGGTCGCCGCGCCTTTGCTTCCCCACCTGCCGGGATGTCTGGGCCGGTCACCTGCCGACGCTGTCTTGCGTTTCAATGAGGGACATTTTGTCCCTGGCATGTGCATACGCCACTGCGGCCAATTTACATCGTACCGCGCCCCGGACGTTGTGCACGCTCCCCGTCCCTCGCCTTGAAGCCGCGAACCAAACAAGTAACCCCAGTAGCCCATCCAGGAACGATGCTGTGGAGGAGCATGCTGTGAAATATAGGGTTTGGGAAGCCGTCATACCCCAAGCGGGGAGGACGGAGGAGGACTCGGAGGAGAAGGATGGGGAGGGGAGGGGAGGGGCGGGGCAGGGAGGAGGCAGGAGGAGGAGGAGGAGGAGGAGGAGGAGGAGGAGGAGGAGGAGGAGGAGGAGGAGGAGGAGGAAGAGGGGGAGGAGGAGGAGGAGGAGGAGGAGGAGGAGGAGGAGGAGGAGCAGGAGGAAAAGGGCGAGCAGAAAGGCCAATGGCCTCTTTCATACCTCTCGGAGTCTCTTCGGATGTCGCCTGAGACCTTCCTAGATTCCTCTTGGGGGGCCTCTCGGCGGTCCCGAGAGCCTCTCTGGGCGTCGTGCGGGTCTCTTGGGAGCATATTGGGGGCCTCTTAGGGGCCTCTTAGGGCCTCCTGGGCGCACTCTCGGGAGCCTTGGGGGCCATCTTGGGTCCATCTTGGAAGAGTTCGACCAATAGAAAAAGGGTGTATGAAATGAGGGTCCCCCCCCGTGGGCAACAGTGGCCCAAAATCTTCGGGAAATCAGTGGTTTGTGCCTTCTCGCCGAGGCCTTCTGGGACGCTCCAACGGCCCGCGGCCCCCCGCCCCGTCCAGGTTCAGGGGAGGGCGTATGGGGAGGGGTCCAGAGACACCCCCCGCCCGCAAGCTGTCTCGCTCACGCCCCCCCGCCCCCCCAACAAAGCAACACCTGGGACCGAGCATGCTCAGCGGCCGTCTATGGATAGACAGCTACTGGGAACGAATACAGCCCCCATGTGCGCGATGGGGCGAGGTGCGCCACGCGTGCCAGGCGCTCCAGGTGCGCCAGGCACCCCTGAGGCCTGAGCGTGCCAGGCACGCCTCGCGCGCCAGACGCGCCGCGTGCTCCACGTGCGCCATGTGCGCCGCATGGTCCAGCCGCGCCAGGTTCGCCACGTCTGGGGCGCGCGCAGAGTGTGCCAGGTGCGCCCGCGGGCACGTGGCAGCACACATCGGGAAACATGTCGGCCCCCACCATCCTTGTCGAAAACCAGCGCGCAATCGCGGCGGGGAGGCCATCATGGTGTCTGGTGGGCCTGCACACAGCAGGCAATATGCCAGCACCCCCGCGGTCCTTGTCAAACACCAGTGGACAATGATCGCGGGGTGGCCGCGCATGGTCCAGATTTAGCCGCGAAGTGCATCTTGTTTTCTGACAGATATGGTGGCCTTGCGCAAAGCAGGCAACATGTGGGCACACTCGTCGTCCTGGTCAAAAAAACAAGGCAAAGTGTTCGCGGGACCCACGAGCATGACCCAAGATTTTGCCTCAAAGTTCTGTCGCCATGTTGGCTCAAGCTGTTGTTGACCCAAGCCAGTCTTGGCGCAAGGACGCGTATTCCACAGCCGGGTTTCTCGCACCTCGGGGGGGATGCCGCCGAAGATGAAGAAGGCGATGGCCGGGGCGGTGATGGGCAAGGGAGCCCTCGCGGCGGCGATCGCCGAGGCGACCGAGACCGACAAGAAGACGGCGGCCAAGGTCCTCGAGACGCTCGCGGCGATCGCGACCCAGGAGGTGAAGAAGAACGCCAAGTTCACCATCCCCGGGCTTGTCATGATCAAGACGCGCAAGAAGCCTGCGACCAAGGCCGGAAAGAGGGAGATGTTCGGCAAGGTCTGCATCGTGAAAGCCAAGCCAGCGAAGACTGTGGTCAAAGCGTTTGCGGCTAAGGCTCTTAAGGACGAGTTCTGAGATGCCCGCCAAGAACATCAGCAGTTCCTGCCCGTTGTAGTCCTTCCCCCTCCCTTCTCCCTCGTCTCTTCCTTTTTCCTGCCCCTCCTCCCTCCTCCCTCCCTCCGCAGTGCCTCATCTCGCGCGGCAGTTTGGGGTCGCCGCACGGAGGCGTCACGGCTGGCGTAGGCAGCTCACCGATTGATTCCAATCTCGGGTATCGAGAAGAAAACATAATATGTGTTGCCCCAAAGTGTGTGTTCATGTTGTTTTTTGAAAGGGGTGGGGGAAGCCGGGGTCGCCTGGGGGAGGGGGTGTTTTTTTGGAAGCAGTGATAACCCTGAAGGGGGTTAGACGAGGAAACGCTCTGAACCGCTCACGCCCTAAACGGCTACATAGTTGGATTTCTGGGGCGCATCGCCGAAGGAATGAGAAAAGAACCGACAGTGAATGATGCGCGAAGTCGTGTATGATTCACTGGTGATGGCATCGTTCGCATGATGCTGTCTACAATCTTTCAGTTCGAGGTGAAGAGCCACTGATCCTTGCACGGTGACGCGACACCCCACGACCGTCCACGACAGAAGGCGCTCTCCGCCCGCCGCAGCAGCCGGAGGCTCTGTTGGCCCCGTCCACCCTTGGCGACCTCGGGGACTCGCGCGCGGCCTCGCACGGACGTCACGGCACGAGCACGAGTTCTGCTTTTCCAGTGTGGTGGTTTCAGGTTTCCATGAAGCTTTCACGCTCGCAGCCTCGGCAATTTCGGAAGGGGGGGGTGCAACATCCGCGAGGAGAGCCGTGATTCCGCACTGCGGAGCCCCGTTTCAGCCGCGCACTCAGGGACAGTGCAAGTTCATTCCGTCCCTTCTCTCTAATTGTATCTGCGCGCTGTGTAGTAGCAATGTCTGTTTTGTTTGTTTATGGGTAGTAGCCCCCGGCGTAAATTACAACTTTATTCGGCTTGTTCTTCGCGAGGGAGGCAGGGGGCGTCCAGGGGGCGCTGCCGGATAGGATGCCATCGCAGGGCGCGTGGAGACCTCCATCATCGTGCTGCAGAAGCTGTCGCACAGAGACGACCAGGCGTTTCTTCTCTTGCGTTGGGCAGAGCATCACCACCCACCAAACCACCCCAACCCAGCCCGAAGGCCCAAACTTATCCTCGATTTCCAGTGGGGGGGGGGGGGTCGGGGAACATTGAGAAAACACTTGGAATCCGTACCCCCCCCAACCCGAAAGTCGGGTCAAATTCGGGTCTCCCGGTTGGGTTGGGGTGCTCTGGTAGGTAGTCAGAGCAGGGTCCGACGTCGATTGGATAGGACATCGGACTCAATCCAGAGAGGTGGAGGCACTTCTGGAGCATGGTGGTTCGTTACCTGGCTCCAAGTGCACGTCCCGCTGCAACGTTTCTGGGCCTGACGTTTACAGCGTGCGTGCTCCGCGCGTCTCGTATACAGGAGTAGGCGTCATCCGTATCGTCCTCACCTTTCCGCATGCTCATCCTAGATCTGTCATGTTACACTCAGGGCATATCAGGAACAACGTTGTTGCTTCATACGGGGCTCGGTCTTCCTTAGTCGGCGTTCCTTTACGGCCCCCAGGCGGAAATTGTGCCCTACCGCGTTAGCAAATTGTATCGTTTTCCTTTTGACGGTCTTGGCGCCAGAGCACATGCTCTTTCGGCGACCAGCGGCCTCCCCGCCTCCCCGTCCTCGTCCTCCTCCTCCCCCTCATCTCCCCCCTCCTCCTGCCCCCGCTCCTCGGGAGAGCGTTTTATTGTCATGCGTCAGTCCTGCGCGCTCGTGCCACAGCCCGCACATGTGGAAGACAGTCGCAAGCCGTTACGCTTTCTGGCCTAGCTCCAGTCGGCGGTGCTTCTCCAGCGCGTCTTGCAGGCACGGCGCTATTGACTGGTGTGCAGCAGTGTTTCGATCGTAGCTGTCACTATGGTGAACCATTGACGCTCCACGTGCCCCCCACAAGACCATGCAGAGACGATGCTCGGGCGAGTTGCCTTGAACGGAGAAGCGATGGAGCACGCAGTTGAGCAGGAGGTGGAGGAGAAGGGTGAGCAGGATGCGGAATGCAGCATAGGCCGAGGAGGAAGCAGCAGGGAACATGAGGATGAGCAGAAAGAGGACAACGACGAGGGAGAGCAGGAGGAACAATACTTTGACCGAGCACGTTCCCGCCTAACCTCTGGTGACCCTGAGGTAGGCGGAGGAAGAGGAGGAATAATGATACAATGACGAGGGGAAGGAGAAGCAGGAGGCTGGTGATGAGGAAGAGGAAGTGGCGGATGACGACGATACTGATGTTGATGATGATGATGCTGATGGACCATGGATGGTGGATGATGGACTCGTTGATGAGGAGGATGAGGGTGTTGCAGGCAATTATGTTGTTGCTGATGCTGATGCTGATGCTGATGCTGATGCTGATGCTGATGATGATGATGATGATGATGATGATGATGATGATGATGATACTGATGATCATGATGGTCCTGATGATGACGATGCTGTTGAGGATGCTGATGAGGATGATGATGCTACTGTCGCCGATGGTGAAGGTGATGTTGATGCTGCTGCTGAGGATCATGATGATGCTGCGGCGGATGATTGCGATGATGATGATGATGCTGGTGATGATGGTGCTGGTGCTGATGATGAGGATGATGATGATCATGATCATGCTCATAGTCATGATGATGATGCTGATGATGATGATGCTGCTGCTGATGATGATGATGATGATGATGATGATGGTGGTGGTGATGATGATTATGATGTTGATGCGGATGAGGAGGATGAGGAGGAGGAAAAGGAGGAGGAGGAAGAGCTGGACCAGAGTAAACCCAGGATGCATCAACGATGCTGCAATACACCCTTCCGCCCCATGCCGCCTCCTCATAAGTCCCTGCAGGCCCTCGTCGTGACGGCGAGGAGCGCCCCTTTGAAAGACGAACACCCTGTGGGCACGCCGCTGTGGCGACAGCCCCGAGATGCGGAACGGTATGGCCATGAGGTTAAACGAGGTGTGCAGCGGTAGCCCCGTTGTGGAAAGGAGATGCCCCCAGCCGCGGACCTATTGCACACGTGTGCGCATGTGGTCATCAAACTAGAGGGCGTCTCAAGCGAGAGCCCCATCTTGAAAATGAGCCGCCCTCAATCCGTGCACTTGTTACATCGTGTCGAGCGTCCAGCCGGAACTCCGAGACAGCCTCAAGCAAGAGCCATCACGGTTTGAACACCAGACGCCCTCCATCTCTGCAACGGCGGAAAGCTTATAGGACGAATGTGCGCAGCGCTTGGGCGAAGTATTCCGTTTTGAAAACGCACCGCCCTCCATCAATGTAATTTGTCAAACATCTCAGACGAACATGCGCAGCCAGAATGCGAGACACAAGTTCTAGACGCTTCGCAAAGCCCAGCAGCCCGTACATAAACGATGCCTAGGCAGCGAGTTACCTTGATCAGGAATGTGTATAAGCATGCAGTGGAATAACGGGCTGGGGAAGCCGTCGTACTCCAAGAGGGGGAGGATGAATGAGGACTCGTTGTCGTCGCCGTCGTCGTCGCCGTCGTCGTCGCCGTTGTCGCCGCCGTTGTCGGAGGAGGATGAGGAGGGGGACGGGGGGGGGAGGGGGAAAGGGATGAGGGAGGAGGAGGAGGAACAGGCAGATGAGAAGTTGGAGGAGGGCGAGCAGAATGGCAAGAGGCCTCTTGGATGCCGTTGAGAGGTTCCTTCGGCAATCTATTAAAGCGTCTTGGAATTATCCTGGGGCGTCTTGGAGGCCTCTTGTCGGTCCTGAGGGCCTCTTGGAGCGTCTTGGGTTCCTCGCGGGAGCCTCTTGGGGCCTCTTTGGGGGTCTCTTGGGGACCTCTTGGGGACCTCTTGGGGACCTCTTCGGGGCCTCCTGGGCTTCCTGGGCACCTCTCGGGGCACTCGTGGGAACATTGGGGGCCATCTTGTCTTGGGGCCGTCTTGGAGGAGCTCGGGCCCAGTTCACCCGTAGAGTCGCTGCACGCGCTCAAGGGGGAATGTGTGCGCAGCGCCAGGGCGAGATACCCCCTTTGTGAGAGGGGCCCGCTCGCCGTCCTCGCCACCGCTGCCAGGTTTCATAGCGCGCGGCTGCTCGGTGTAGCCAGGGCGAGGGCCCCCCAGTTGTAGAACTACCCCCCCCCCGCCCCCTCGTGCGACGCGTGCGCGCGGCGCTCAGGCGCGAGCCCCGTTGGGAGAAGGGCCCTCCTCGATCCGTGTGGTGGTTGGGGATGTCGGGCCTCGGGGCCGACCAGCAGGGAGGGCGTCTGGGGCGACGCGCCTGGTCCGCCCGCCCTACGGACACGTCTGATGGTCAGACGAGGAGGGGTGATCTATGAGGAAATGGATGGAGGAGGAGGAGGAGGAGGAGGAGGAGGAGGAGGAGGAGGAGGAGGAGGGAGGAAGGAAGAAGGCCACGCCTCTGACCAGTGAACTTTGAAGTCCTTTCTCTGTGGGTTTCTCGATCCGGGAGCTCTTTGGAGGCCTCCTGGAGGCAGGCTGGGGGCTTTTTGGAGCCATTCTTGTCGGGGGTGGACAGACCTCCTACCCTGACACGTCGATCGAGGAATTGGCAGTTTTCGGTTCGCGAGAGGGCGTCGCGGCCGTCATTTCTGCGGGTCCAGGTCCGTCGGTCTCGGTCCCGGGCCGTTTTCACTAAGGGGAGGTTTACTAAAGGGAGGTCTGTCAGCCGCCGATATTTGGAGCTTTCGGATCCCCCTTGGGGTCCTCTTGGGGGCCATGGGGGGGCCTCTCGTGGCCACCTCGGAGGACATCGATCTGACACGGCGTGGCCTCCAGGTGCCACTGCCCCTCTGGAGCCCGACGTCGCCTCCTGGCGTCCCTCTTCGGGAGGTCTTCGAAGCAAACTTGAGGCCACTCAGGGCCACTCTTGGGGCTGTCTCGAGCAATGTTTGAGCCACCCTGAGGACCCAGATGCTTCTTGGAGGCGAAGGGCGACGAAGCAGAAATCATTGAAACTCATTTCCTTGTTTGATCGATTGTGGCCTTCCGTGGGTCTCCCTGGGAGGCTCTGTTGCCACTTGGAGCCGTCTTTGTGCAGTCTTGGGGTCAGTCTGAAGGCCACCTTGGGCCAACTGAGACCATATTGCCTAATATTGTAGTCCGTCTGGGAGCAGCATGGGCTACATTGGAGCAATATTTGCCCAGCGGCCTCCAAATAATGCCCCTGAGGGGCCCAAAGCATTCAATCACCAAGGCTTTCAATAATTCCCCTCACAGTGCTTGCCTTTTTGACATGGACTCTTCTTCGCGTTCCCGTGTGATTGGGCCTGCTTTTGGGACATTGAGCTGGTGCCGGGCAGTTGGCGCCTTGTTGGGGCGCACCTCGCGCCGGCTGGGTTTTTTGGGTTTTTTTTCGTTCGATGCCCGGGCGTGGGCGCCTCGTGGGCGTTTTGCACTGTCCGTCCCGGGTGTCGGGGTTTTTGGCCGGAGCCCCGCCGTGGGCGCCTGATACATTGCACCGCATGGCTTGGGCTCGTCGCGGAGATCGGCGTGTTCCACAGTAACGGTTCTCTTCTGAGGCCTGCAGGGCCGCCAGGGCTCTGCCTCGCATGGGGCCCTGCCCCCAGTGCTCGAATCCTGTGGCAGCGGAGTGTTGAGCTCAAACAAAAAATGCACCATGCAGATCGCACCACACAGCTTCCAACGCATGGCGTGCATCACGCAGCTTGTACCGCATAGCTTACGTTACCTGGCTTCCACTACGTAGCTTGCACGAGATGGTTTGCATCGTTTGCTACGCCGCGCGCGTGACACACTGGTGTCGCGAGCCGTTGGCCACGTTATTTCTGATGGGTCAGGTTAGATTTGGCGCAGTGTCGGCAGGGCCTGGGTCAGGTTAAGGTAGGGATTGGCTACGTTCGGTGTGTGTGTGTGTGTGTATCGCGTGCACCACATAGCTTACACCAATTGTCTTGCACCACATGGCGTGCACTATGCAGCACGCGCCAGTTAGCTTGCACCACGCAACCTGCACCACTTAGCCTCAACCGCGTAGATTACACCGCCTGCATTGCACCAGGCAGCTTACACCGCAATGCTTACGCCGACCACGTAGCCTACACAACGCAATTCATACAGCATCGCTTGCACCGCCTCCTAGCCTACATAGACTTGCACCGCAAAGCGATTGTAGCATACCTTGCGCCGCCCTGCCTGCACCACATAGATTACACCACGTAGCCTGGCATCGCATAGCTTGCACCGCACAGCTGGCACAGCATAGCTTGCACCAAATGAATTCCATTGTATATCTGGCATTACTTAGCTCCCACCACAGTATGTACACATCCGGGAAGTCACGCGAGGCCTGGCTGCCTCATGACAGCCCGAGCAAGAGGAACAAAGGAAGGGCCCCAGACGGGACCGGATGCTCCCATGAGGACACTAAACGTGCCCGCAGAGGGCTCCAGGATAGTTCAGACTCGAGAACGCTATCAGCACCACCTGTACAGTGAGTGGCTTGAATCAGGAACACTTGCTTTTCAAAAGGGGCTCGGTCGTTCCTTAGGTTTGCATGCGTTACGTATCGTCCCTTACGTATCAAGAAGAAAGTTATGTTTTTTTTTGCTGGGGGGCTGAAACGGGTACACCCCCGGCTGTTACGTATCAAGAAGAAAGTTATGGTTTTTGCTGGGTGTACCCCGTATCAAAACCTTCAAAACTGTATGCGTTATGTAGTATTCATCGTTGAAAAAGGGGGCTTCGTTCCTTATTTATCGTCCCTTAGGTCAGGCCGATGACTGCACTCGAAGAACGTGTGAGCTCCTCCGGATCTGGAATCGGTGGCTCGTGGCCCGCGGTCTCCCGCAGGGTCTCCCGCCTGGTCTCCCGTGCGGTCTATGGCCTCCTCCTCCTCCTCCTCCTCCTCCTCCCTCCTCCTCCTCCTCCTCCCTCCTTCCTCCTCCTCCTCCTCCTCCTCCTCCCTCCTCTCTCCTCCTCCTCCTCCTCCCTCCTCCCTTCCCGTATGCTCGCCCGCACGGTCTTCCGTGGGACCATCCGTGCGGTCTCCCGTATGGTCAGCCGCACGATGCCCCGCATGGTGTCCCGCAGGGTTTCCCGCACGGCCTCCTGGACAGTCCCCCGCTCCTGTCTGGTCTCCCGCAGGTGCCCTCCCGCACGGCCTCCTGTGAGCTCTCCCGTGGGGCCTCCCGCACGGCCTCTCGCATACTCTCCCGCACGGCCTCCCGCACGGCCGCCCGTATCTGCAGCGCGGCCGAATGTTGCGTACGCTCGTGATGCTCCGGACTTTCTGCCGCTGGGGTGTTCTCTCATCGGTGCCAGAGGTCCTCTCCGCGGATCCTCCTCCTCCTCCTCCTCCTCCTCCCTGCCGAGGGGCGGCCACCGCGCCAGATTGCCGGCCACATCCAGTCCGCAGGCAAGGGGGGAATTGGTGATTCACCGAGCGCCTCCCACGACTCGCAGAGTGCCTACTCGCGAGCGTCCAAAGCACATGTCTTCCTCTGTAATAATAATAATGGATCGTCACTCTCCCGCGGCGGATCCACTCCATCTGCGAGTCGTGACTCTGCGAGTAGTGGAGCGCGCTTCTAGTGCTGCGGCGCGGGGTGAGGAGATGGGTGCACTTCGCCCGAAGAGAAACGGAGGCAGTTGGTCGGAGGCGAGCGAGGGGGGGAAGCAAAGAGAGAGAGAGGGCCTTCTCAGAAGGGGCGGGACTTCTCAGAAGACCTCGCGCCCTCTGAGAAGTGTTCTGTGTCTTCGGGGAAGGCGTAGGCAACTTGTCAGAAGGCCATGGAGCTATCGAGCCCTCTGAGAAGGGCCACCCCTGTTCACTTACCCACCGGTGCTCGCCGCCGAGTTGCAAGAGGAAGTGTCCTCGGCCACTTCTGCCGAGAGGGCTGCTGAGATTACTGCACTTCCCTTGCTTCTGGGCGTATGACGGGAGAACTCTACATCATGCTTGTCCCAGGATCGGCTAGGTGCTCTCAATTCTCATGCCCGACGTTGCCACGGCGCCTCTTGCGCAGAGTTGCCCTGTCCGTGAGAGAGGTCTGTCAGCGTCTCAGCGTAGGTCTAGACACAGCGGTGGACACGTGGTGCAGGAGGAGGGTTACGGCAGAAGGATGGCCAGGTGTTTGTGAGGGAGGCGACAGGAATGATGTTCAGGTGTCGGTGAGGGAGTCAACAGGCGACGGGCAGCCAGCCCCATCTTGACGTAATTGTTCAGGACGGTGGTGTGCCCACCGACGCCTTCTACATCATCGCGGGCACAATCTACAAAGCTCCTCAACTCGGAGATGTGTTTGATAGGATACTGTTCCCCCCCCCGTGGCCTTGCTGCGTCGACCATGCCAAATATATTGCCACCAAGGCTGCCACTGTCTACGCCATCGATGGTGGCGCCGTGTTCCCACCAGCGCCTTCAGCTCTGCACTCGCTGCTTCGATGACAGAGGATATTGTCATGGGCGTGACTCTTGCAAGTTCCTAGTGGCTCTTTCCTCCCTCCCTTTTCCGAGGGTGGCGCGCGAGAGGCGTCAGATTCGTGAGGCGATGAGCAGTAGTTGCCCCCGCCCCTCCCGAAACAAAAGAAGCTTGGGAGGAGGTTCTCGAGAAATGGAAGATGACGATTAATAAATGACCGGGGGTCGTGCTCACGCGGCGGCGCCCGGGATGACGATTAGAAAAAACCGGCCGCGGGCTGGAACGTCATTCTGTTTAATCGTTCTCCTCCGGTCAGAAACTTGTGCAGACACAGCAGAAACTATTGTTTAAATCGTTCTCTCTTATGTTTTGTATGAATCGTCATCCTCCAGTACCAGCCTGTCGAAGAATGGAGAGTGGTAACCCCTGACCTGCGTGGCCGTCCCTCCCCTCCCCGTCCCTGCCCCCGCGCCCCCGTCGCGCCTCTGCCCAATTCCTGCTCGTCGTCGCTGCTGGGGTCTCTGCCGTGCGACAGTCAGCCCGCACAGTAAGGACGGGCTGCTTGTCCTGTCAGGATGTATTTGGTTGAAGGCGGATCTGCACTAAAAAACGTATTTCGGCGGCGGACAGAACCCCCAACAGTGACACGTCGATGAGTGAATTGTCCGTTTTCGGTTCTCGCCGCGGCCATTATTTTCCAGGCTTGCGCCCGCCAGGTTTGGGCCCGAGGTCGTTTTCACTAAACCACGTTTTGCTAAAGGGGGGTCTGTCCATCCCCGAAAGAATGTATTTTTTGAAGGCGGATCTGCATTAAACAACGTATTGTTTGAAGGCAGGCTTGCCATGAAGAGAGACAGTATTCTTTGCAGACAGATCTGCCTTCAACAAATACGCTCTTACAGGGCACCTTCGCTTCCTTACCTCCGCGGTCTATCCTTGGCCGCTTTCGTTGGCCGCGCCCCGCTCGAGAAGCTTCGAAACGGCCTCCCGAGGCCCTTGCGTCCTTGATCGTGCATCCTTATGATACGGGTCGACCCCGCGGGATCAATCAAGGAACGGTCCCCCCTCCCCTACAGTGCTTCCACCCGTCAAGGACCGTGGGTGGACGCGCCCCGGGTCAATTGCACAGGGCGCCGTCTTGTCGCCTCGAGGACCTACATTTTTAAGCATGCGTCTGTCGCGCACAGGCACACACGCCAGTCGCTTTCCTTCGCGATCCGCTTCCCTGGTCGAGGTTCATCGCCCAGTACCCGCGCGACTTTCGCGCTTCAGGGTTCCCACGTTGCTCGTCTCCTCAGCCGTTCTGATTGGCCTTCAAAGGGGGGCGTCAAGACCTGGATTTGCTTCGCGTTGGTTGACGCCGACGTGCGTTCCCTGACCCTTGCCAGGCTTCCCCACGGCTCCCCGTGTGGTTTCGCCCTTCTCTACGCCTCGCACCTCGTGGATTTGCACCTCGGCGCGCGCAAGAAGTTTTACATGGCCTGAGTGTGGCCCCTCTCTCGCGGCCTCTCCGGCCTTTCGCCCCCGCGCGGCCCTCTGCTCTGTGCGTAGCTGTGCCCCGGCGCGCCCCGCCGCTGCTTGACCGCCGTCTGATCTTCTTGCGACCACTGACAAGAAGTCACGCCAAAGCTCCGCTCCAGAGCCATTCCGTGTTGAATTCGTTGCTAGGCCCTTTGATGACTGTGATGCAAGGCGTGAGTGCGCAGCGCACTTCTGCTAACCCCAGAAACAGTGGATGAACCTCGTGGTGGTTGTCAACTCTCCCTCTCCTTCCTTCTCCTCCTCCTCCGCGGGCCCCCGCGCGTGTCAGAGGAGGAAATGGAGGGCGTTCCATACTAGTGGAGGAACCTTCGCAACAGGCGCCCCCGACCAATCCTCTGGCCTGAGGGTCCTTGCCCATGCTCGCTCGATGCTGCGCCCCCCCGTGGGCGAGCCCTTGCCAAATGCCTAGTGGGAGCTGCAGGAGGACGGTTTAAATCAATGCCCGTACGTGGGCACCGTTTAAAAATACAGCGGGGGCGCTGAAGAAGGAACCCTTTTCGTTGGGGAGGGGCTCCGTGCTCCTCGATTGCCTTACAGTTTTCCTCCGGTTTTCCCGAGGTTTCCCAGGGGAAGTCGAAGTTTAACTTAAGGGAAAAAGGGGCCTCGCTCCTTATTTTGGGTTCCTTAGGTCAACGCCCCGATTGTACAGTAGGCTGCAAGAGTGGGCGGCCACGGCCGCCCAACGCAGGCCGCGACCTGGCCCGTCCCCAGCGCAGGGGCGACTCGCGCGTCGTTCGTTCGTTTCGGCGCTTCCAGCGTGCGGCGTGGCCCGTAGGGGCCGCAGCGTTCAGGCAGCGGCGAAGAGCCCTGGCGTGCTTATAGGCCCACCAAGCAAAGTGCTAAGAACCGGCTGTGTGTGTCCACGACATGTTCTCAGAACGTTTCTTGCTGGGGCTGTCTCGCTTCAGCACATCGGGTTCCTGTCCTAAGGACATCGTTCGTGCTCTTGGAACATTTTTGGGTTATGCGAACACTTCGTGAGTCTTACAGGCATGCCGGGACGGTCGGTCCCTGCTCAGAGCGTGGCGCCTGCTCAAAACCAGCGCGGCCCGCAGCGTGCTGCGGGAGGCCGCTGACTCCATCGCTGAGGCCGTGGGCCTCCAGGAGACGATTTTTTTCCCGCCTCTCCCCCCTGGCTCGCACGATTTCCCGTGTCGGTTTTCCTGTGCTTATTTCTTTCCGTTAATTATATATCACATGTTCGCCTCTTACTGTTTTTTGTTTGTTGCTCCTTCTCCCTCTATCTCTTTCTTTATTTCCCTCTCTCCCTCTCTTCCTATATATATATATATATGTATGTGAATGTCAGTTTCTCTTTGTTCGGTTGTCTTAGCTCCTTCTCTCTTATACACATATTGACAGCTGTACACAACGCCCCCCACGTTTGTTCTCTGTTTGTTCGTTCTCTCTCTCTCTCTCGTTCCTTGCCCCTCTCCAGCGGTCCACTGCGAACGCGACCTCTGCAGGCCCAACATTCGACCGTTACTCCAGGACCCTCATCTTCTTCCACCGGTCCCTGCTGCCTCTGCTCCTCCTCGCCCTCCCCCGCTCCCCTCGTCGTCGGCGTCTCCTCTTCCTTTTCATTGTCTTCCTTCTCCTGCTCCTCCTTCTCCTCCTCCTCCTTTCATTCCTTCTCTCCTCCTTCTCCTCCTTTCATTCCTTCTCTCCTCCTTCTCCTGCTCCTCCTTCTCCTCCTCCTCATCCTCCTCTCCTCCTTCTCCTACTCTTCCTTCTCCTCCTCCTGCTTCTCCTCCTGCTTCTCCTCCTGCTCCTCCTTCTCCTTCCTTTTCATTGTCTTCCTTCTCCTGCTCCTCCTCCTCCTCCTCCTCCTCCTCCTTTCCCAAGGCTCGGTTCCGCATATTCTACATCGGAAGCGATTTCCCCAGTGTTCTTCACAATTGTTTTGGGCCGTACTGCGTCGATTTGATGTTCCCTGTCACGTTTGCCGTGCCATTCGGCCATGGATTGCCAGATGCGTCTGCTGATCAGTATCCATGGATTCGATCTTGTTTACATTGATATTGAGAGGGGTTTGAAACAAGTGTGCCCGATCTCGGGACTCACAGTTTGTTTCGGTTCAATGTTTTGTCTTGGAGTGTTCCCGGGTCGCCCGGCCGGTACCGGGGAGCACGGCGGTAAGAACGAAGGCCGCCCGATGGGCCCGCGCGTGGAGACATTGGCAACATGCTGAGGTGGTTCGGTCCTTTCTGCATGAGCCATGCTCACGAGTCAGCCTCCCGAGACGACCAGATTTGGCACGGTCTGGCCCGTTTCGCTTGAGACATCCTCGCGAACCTGGGCTCCCAGACGCTACGCGAGAGGTGGTCTGGCCCATATCGCCTGAAACATCCTCAAAACTTTTCTGGGCCCTGGGATACCGTAATCTGAGGTTGCTACGTCCTTTTCGATTGAGACATCATCGCTGCGCTAGGCTTCAAGGTGCCGCCCGCGAAGTGATCATGTCTGTTTCGCCTGGGAAGTCCCCGCAATTGTAGGCAAATATATGCCGCGTTCGAGGGGGTCCTGCCAGTTTCGCATGAGACGTCCCCGCAGTTCCTGGGCAACCGTTGAGGAAGGAGTGCGAAGCGACGGGGGAGGGGGAGGAGAAGTAGCAGGATGATTGAGGACGAGGGGTAGGAATGATAATGCTCGTATTGCGGTCTGGCAAAAACTCTTGTTGTCAATGCTCTCGGGGCGCCAGGGCTGGACGAGGCTCGATCGTGCCTGGTGATGCGGGCTGGTGCTCTGCCGACGAAGGGTGTGTCACGGGCCCGTTCGCGCCCAGATTGTGAGGATGTTTTCGAACGGTCCGTTAGTTTACGGGGTAGAGGTGTGTGTTCGTAGCCGTATGGTCGTCGCTGGCCACTTCGGTTGGCTTTTGGGGCTGTTTGGGCCCCATCAAGGGCTTGCCTTGGCTGGCGAGGGGGACAGTGCACCTGAGCCCCGGTGCCCAGGTCGCCCTGGACAGATTCGGGCGACCCCGGCAACCCCAACGGCGGTGCCGGGGAGGTGCCGGGGAGGGGTTGCCCTCAAAAGAGCTGGGTGCGCCCCATGGCCTACAGAGAGCCATCCTCGCAACGTCGGGCTCCAAGGTGCCCTGACTAGATGTCCTCTGGCTCGTCTCGCTTGAGACGTCCTCACAAGTCTGGATTCCAAATCTTGGTTCGCGAGGTACTCAGGCCTGTTTTGCCTGAGACATCCTCGGAACCGCAGGCTTCGAGATGCTCTGAATTGATGTGCTCTGGCCCGTATCGCTTGAGACGTCCTCACCACTGGGGTCCAAGATGTAGTTCGCGAAGTACTCAGGCACGTTTCGCCTGAGACATCCTCGGTATCTCTGGCTCTGACCGTTTGGCCTGAGACGTCCTCGCAACTCTGGGTTGAAGATGCGGTTCACGAGGTGATCAGGCCCGTTTCGCTTGAGACATCATCGCAACCCCGTCTTCCGGGATGCCCTGACTTGAGATGCTCAGTCCCGTTTCACCTGTAACATCTTCATTACGTTGATCGCTTGAGAAATCCTCAGAACCCCAGGCTTCGAAATGTCTTGAATTGAGGTGCTCTAGCCCGTTTCGCCTGAGACGTCCTCACCACTGGGGTCCAAGATGTGGTTCGCGAGGTATTCAGGCACGTTTCGCCTGAGACATCCTCGGAATCCGTGGCTCTGACTGTTCGGCTTGAGACGTCCTTGCAACTCTGGCTTGAAGATGCGGTTTACGAGGTGCTCAGGCTCATTTCGCTTGAGACATCCTCGGAACCTCGGGCTCCGAGGTGCCCTGATTTGAGGGCCTCTAGCCCGCTTGGCTTGAGATATCCTCGCAACTCACACCTGTGGGTTTGCGGCTCGCGAGGTGATCTGGCCCGTTTCGCCTGAGACATCCTCACAACTCGGGGTTCCATCGCGAGGTGCTCAGGCCTGTTTTGCCTGAGACATCCTCCGAACCCTGGGCTACTGCGAGATGCCCTTAATTGAGGTGCTCTGGCCTGTTTCGCTTGAGACGTCCGCACAACTGAGTTTCAAGACGTGATCCGAGAGGCGCCATCGACGGAGTGGTTGCTTGGGTTGCCCCCGGTGCCGGGGGAAGTCGGGGACCAGTAGGAAGTGACAGAACCAACGAGAAGTCGCCCTATCCGGGTTCGTATTCGGAGGCGGTGTTCGGGACCATCGCACCTACTGAGATGGGTGCTTTTGCTGATGCGGTTGGCGTAGTGAGCGAAGATCTGGTCGAGTGCCTGCTGCCGATCCTCCGAGTTCTGGCGGGTGCCGCCAAAGCCTCGGGTCTAGTTTTGAACTTGGCCAAGTGCGTGCTGATTATTCCTAACCTCCTGCTCCGTGAGACTGTTGTGCGCGATCTCCGTTCAGTCGGGGTGAATAACAGCAAGTTTAAAATCGTATCGAGTGGGAAGTACCTGGGAGCATATCTTGGCATTGCTTGGAGGGAGGAATCATGGAAGCAGGTGATGTGTACTCTGGGGAGGATGGCCTTGCAGGTTAAGCAGATGGGAGGTGGGCTGGGACCCCCCGAAGTCTGTGTGCTTGGCCCAGAAGAATATCCTCCAGAGGCTCACATGTGCTCCCTGATTTTCGTTATCCCCCCAAGCCCTCCACCAACTCCGTGACCTCGGCCACCCTGTGGAATCGCGGCGCCTGAGTGTGTATTCGCGGGCTTGCATGTTGCGTGCCGTCGATAACTCTGAGAAGTTTCACTGTCTCAAACATTAGTTGGAACTGTTCGCTACATCAGATGAAGTTGTGGTAGCATGGAGGTTCAGCCCGTATGCTCGTGACTGCCTCTTTCTTCGGCTGTGGGATGCGTGTGATGCGTTCTTCCGCATCCACCGCCCGCTCGGGTGTAAGCCCAAGGCCGTCCAGTCTCAAGTGACCAAGCGTCTAATCAAGGATATGCGTCCTTCCATCCCCTCCGTTCAGGACGTGTTTCGTCCGAGGCTTGCCAAGTGGATCCCGACCATCACTGATGTCGAGGTGTTTTTGACGTGCATTCGGATTGGTGCCGCGGGGCCCAAACTTCCTGGCTACATCCTGTCCGCCTGTTTGAAAACCATGTTCAACGGTTGGAACACCATGCGGAGGTACGGTCAATGTGTTCAGATTTGTGGTTTTGGCTGTCATGCCGTGAGCGGTGATGGCTTGCTGCACCAATCCATGTGCCCCGTGCTCGTCCAGGGCATTAAACTGGTGCTCCCGCGGCTCCAGGAATATTGGGGGGTTGAGCCGCTGAGTTCACTTTTGCCCCACCTTGTCCATTCATCCTCTCGTGAAAATCTGTTCTCTCAGTTCATTGCCTTAGACCTAACGCATTCCTGTTTTCAGATCTTTCGGGCATCGCCCTCTGTCAGCTTTTCCCAATCATATACACTGTCTCTCGTGAAAGCGCGTCCTGGAGAGGGGTATCGACGGAGCCAGGCCGTCCAAGCTCTCGGCAGGGGTGCCAGTCTTGCCTGACCCGTCTTCCACATGTCTCTGTTTCTCTGTCTGTTTCCCTGCTCCGCCCTCCCCTCGTCGCCTCTCCCGTCTTCGTCCCTTCGTCGTTTCGCCGCCCCACCGACGCGGCGGCGGCGGCCGTTCACCGTGTTGGCCGCGGTGAGCCCAGAGGGCCGCCCACCGCGCGCGCCGCGCGTGCTGCGGGACTGAGTGAGACTTTTCCCGTTTCGTTTCGTCTCGAGCTCTTGGCCGCCCTTCGTTCCTCGGGTGGTGCCCCTCCTCCTCCTCCTCCTCCTCCTCCTCCTCCTCCTCTTCCTCTTCCTCCTCCTCCCCCTCTTCCTGACCCCTCTCCTTCCCTTCCCTTCCCTTCCCTTCCCTTCCCTTCTCCTCCTTTTCCTCCTCCTCCTCCTCCTCCTCCTGTTCCCCGTCCTCTTTTTGTTGCTGGTTCTCGTCCGCCTCCCCCTCCCCCGTTTCATTCTCCATCGTTTCCGCCTCCTTCTACTCCTCCACCCCCTCTTCCTCCTCCTCCTCCTCCTCCTCCTTTTCCGCCTCCTCCTCCTTTTACGCTATACCAACCTAAGGTTTCCCTGTGGCGTTCAGCCTCCTCCTCCTTCCTTTCTTCCCTCCTCCTCCCCCTCCTCTTCTTCCTCCTCCCCCTCTT